TGGGGGACCCGAAGAAAAAGATGTCTTCCTTTAAGGTGGGATTTAGCATCTGTCTAGCCTGGCTCTGGGGAGAATGTTGTTTGGGGAAGATCTGGGACCTGGAGACGCAAGCAGTGGGGGGATTCTTTCACCCCCTAACTGAATTCTTCTGTGGGAAGAGAAAAGGGGAGCATTCAAGTGAGGGAGTCACTAGGGCCTCTGCTGGCCTACCAATGATGAATTTGAAAAAGGTGTCCTTCCAGGAAGAGAAATTTGGCACTCCCTGCCCAGCCCAAATGTTCCTGGGTGGCACAAACAGTTTGCATCAGCTAGTAACCTAAAGGTTGGTGGTTCAAACCCATCTGGAGGTGTCCTGTAAAGATTACAGCCATGAAAACCCTATGGAGCAGTTCTACTCTGTAACATATGGGGTTGCTGCATGACATCAACTGGTTTTATTTTATTTTTTCTCTGTTTGTGTAGGGATTTGACACACCACAGTACACACATGCTAGAAAATAGCTCTCACTCAACAAGGAGTAATTAAAAACAGGTAGCAACTCAAGAGCTGCACCCACCTTGGTTAATGGGCTGTCCTCCACTCTGTATTCAGCTCACTCAACAGCCTATTTCCTTAAGAAGTAGATTGGAATCAAAAGTCCCAGCAGTGCATAAAAGGAGGTGATCCTAGAGCTGGGAGAAGAAGATAGGCTACAACTTGGGGTGAGGTGAAGTAGTAACAATGCTCAGGTTGGAGCGTGGCAGCTGAGGGTGCCCGGATTCCTGCTGGCTCTCTCTTCTCACACCATCCCAGGGGCCTTCTAGGGCCTTCTGCCAAATGTGGGGCTCTCCAAGATGGCAGGACCAGAAGGAGAACAAATTCAATTCTGCTCCTTTATGTTCCCAGGGCGACTCTGGGGGTCCCCTTGTGTGCAACGATGTGGCCCAGGGCATTGTCTCCTATGGAAAAAACACTGGGACTCCACCACGGGTCTTCACCAAAATCTCCAGTTTCCTGCACTGGATAAAGAATACCACAAAATGCCTCCAACTGCAGGAATCAAACTGAAGTCCTCTCTGATTGAACATCTTCTTTGGAGAGCCAGCACCTTAATAAATGTGTCTTAGCTGAGAGTAATTGGTTGGTGTCTTGTTTATACATTCACCTTGTGAACAATCACCGTCTCTGCGCTGGCAGGACAAGGTCATAATTGTGCTTTGTATCCTGCTTCCTCTCTACTCACCACATTCCAAAATTCCTGTGCAATGTGGTTTCCTAGCTCCTTCTTACCCACTCCTGTATCTCCAGGGTCTGTCCTTCTGCAGAACTGAAACTGAACACCCTCAAGAAGAAGCAAAACCCTCTCTGGTATGGGGCTCAAGCAAACTTCTTACCTCCTTCCCCTTCACTACACACAGAGAGGAAGGGGATGTCCACTAGGTTCTACAGGCATAGCTCAAAGTTCAGGGAAGAGCAAGAGCACAACATTTATTTTCCACAGCCAGGGAAGTTGGCAGCTTTGGAGGGAGGGGTCCTTAAGAAACTTCTCATACTCCCCTGGGCTTAATTTCCTTCTTTCCTTTTCCTACCTTGCTCTGAGCTCAGAGCCCACCCTAACCTCCAGTCTCCTGCCCCATTTTCTCCTCCTTTCTCACTTACCACTGAGAGATCTCAGAATCTACCACCTCCTGTCCCCTCCAGACCACACTGATCTGAGCCAGCCCCTTCATCATCTCCCCACCTAGGATACACAGAGCCCTGCCTGATTTCAGCAAAGCCTCGTTATGGGTT